CTTTATTTGTTGACATCCTGTCCTTAAAATAAATTTATTGATGGACATAATCGACATACTGCTTCTTTTTCTTCTCTGCTGCAAGGAAGTGATTCTCATGCTCTTTTTATATAACCCATTACATTAGTGGTCATTCACTTCTCTTTCCTCGACAGCTGAAAATCCTCTTAATGACACATGGCTTGAATACATAGTGCCTTTTAACACTGAATATGAATGAATCTATGTTGAGTGCTATATTTATTTTCCTGTCTATAATAAAATAAATAAACTGCCCCTTTGCACTGTGTGGGAAGTCTATTTTTGTTCCATGTGTTTGGTACTATAGAAACATTGAATTTCCCCTTGCGGGATTAATAAAGTATATCTTATCTTAATCTTAATATAGACACTACAAAACCCTTCACAATCCAAGCAACATGTCAGTGGAATTTTTTTCCTGCTTATTATTGGTGTGTTCATTTCATTTTCTTAAAACTATTTAACCTAAACAACATGATATTATGTTAGAAAAGGCAGTTCAAAATCTTCAAACATATTATTTAGCTGATCAGAATGTTACCCTACACAATACAACATAGGCAGAATGATAATGAATTTGATTTTGGTTTAAATGCCGAGCTGTGTGGATTGTTAGTCTTCCTACTCATGGTGAGTGTTTTCTCAACCACGCTCTCTTTGTCTGCTCTCTCAGTGCTTTGCAATCACACTCAAAATGAATCATCTGCCACTCTGAGTGCATTGTTTCTGACCAGGTTACGGGCACCGGTTCTGCACCAACCTAAACACCGGCTGAACCTTATCTCTGCCACTGTCGTTCTCTGAGTTTGCACCCGTTGCCCCGCTTTCTGTTTACAATGGATCACTCCACAGGTGAAGACCAACAAGTGAGACTCCCTTTCCTTTCTGAACAGATACATAAACACAGCGGTGGCAGCGTGAAAGGCTTTTATACATGTAACACCCAAAAAGACAAAGCTGACAAGATAAATGAGCAATGGAAGTGAGTATGCTTCTGTAGAGGAGAATGACTAATGAATATGTAATGCTTCCTCCCTAATTCCACTTGAAAATTAGATGTATTGTAAGAATCACTGATAAATGTTTCCACAAATTAGATATCATTTTAATATCTAATTTGTCATTATAATATCTTATTTGTTCCTCCACCCAACCCCTCAACATCTTCACTTTGATTCTGTCCTGTAGCAATTCTAATGTTGCAAATGATTTGCTAACAACTCTTTAGATACATTCTAAAATTAGAAGAGCACATCATTGACTTGTCCCTCGTAACAAGGCATATGTAAATGATGTGCAGAAGATCACACTTTGAGACCTGTGATTATTCATTTTCACTTTGGAGGAGGACACGTGCAGGAACCGTAACACTGAGCATAGCTGAATGGTGTGTGTGTGTGTGTGTGTGTGTGTGTGTGTGTGTGTGTGTGTGTGTGTGTGTGGTGTGTGTGTGTGTGTGTGTGTGTGTGTGTGTGTGTGTGTGTGTGTGTGTGTGTGTGTGTGTGTGTGTGTGTGTGTGTGTGTGGTGTGTGTGTGTGTGTGTGTGTGTGTGTGTGTGTGTGTGTGTGTGTGTGTGTGTGTGGTGTGTGTGTGTATGTATGTATGTATGTATGTATGTATGTATGTATGTATGTATGTATGTATGTATGTATGTATGTATGTATGTATGTATGTATGTATGTATGTATGTATGTATGTATGTATGTATGTAGGAATGCATGCACCCACTGGTCTGAATCTAGCAGTTTTTTTTATGCCTGATTGTGTCTTTGCATTACGTGCATGTCGTGCTCCTTTCATTTTCCATTCTGGATGCTGGACACATCAGTCAGATCCAGATGGAGCCTGGACTCTATTCTCTAAAGGAGATTCCAGCTCTGGTTACCACGCTAACCATGCGACACTGGCCACCTGAAACCCAGCACCTACAGCCACCCTACAACCAGTCAGCCTCATTTGTCACTTTCACCACACGGCTGTGTACGTAGATTCATGGTAGACTCTACCATATATCAAGTGCCTGAAGGTACAAAGCCCAGTTTGCCTTCCCAAGCCACATGAAGCATTATTTCACAGTGGCACCACATGCATAAATTTTTGGATCCGAATCGGAATAGAAATCAACATGAAAAGGACACTTAGTCCAGTTAGACAGTGCAAAAGGAAAATGCAGCTCACATACAGTTGGATTAGACTGCAGCATGTAACATTCAGAAATCAAAGTGTGCATTAAACATGCAGGTAGCCTATCACATTGCATGAAGCAATTCCCACCCACAGTGTTTTTCCACCAACTACAATGAGGAAGGTTGTGTTTCCTGTCATGGCTGCCACTGGCTAACCTTTTTCCATTTTTGCCTGATGAGCCTGGTGCTGGCTGGGGCTTTCAGTAAAGCCATCTCCTCACTTTCACTGCGCAGTGCATAGACACTGGCTCTCTGCCCTGCCAGCCTCCTCCTCCTGCCGCCTCGCTTTGTCTCTGACCACCCCACCTGCCCCGAACCCACAACCCCCCACCCCCTGCCCCCAAGGAGCCACAAGAGCGCTTCATCCAGCGAAGATGTAAACTAAGCTAGCACAACACCAACACACCCTCCTCCATTATTCATCTTCCCCCTTTAATGAGTTTTCCATCCACCTTCATGCATCTATCACAATTAAAAGAAACAATTGTTGTGTTAGATCACTTTAATTTCATTTAATCAAAGTATTACATTGTACATTGCCCATCTACTCTGCATTAAATGTGTAGCAAAACGAGTAAAGGCGAGGAGGAAGTAATGGACCTGAAAATGGAACACGAGGGTACATTTTTCAGCAGGTAGGGTGCCCTACAAACAGCAACAGCAACGTGCAGAACACAAGGTGCTGCACTGAAACTGATTTGTCTATCATGTTTGCATTAATCTCTTGAAACAAGTTATATTTTGCCAACAGTTTGCTTACTTTCCAAAAAACAAACTGTGTTCATCAAAGTGTGCCTGAAGAAGTGTAACATTCCCAGTGGTCCGCTAAAAATCTTGTGGAAATTAATTTGATGATTAATTCTCCTCTGTGATCCTCTTTTCCTTTTACACTAAACACCTGTCTAGGCTTTTGCTGTGGTGCAAGGCTGTGTCAATCACACAGATAATATGTTTGTTTACATACCATGATCATGAAAAGGAGGCTAGCTAAATATTTGATGGCTTCTTCGAGTTACCCAGGAACAGTCACCCTGTGACCCAACACTAGAGTTGGACCTCGGCACATCCAGTCATTGTTAAACACTTCTACAGAGCACTGGCTCACATTTGTGGGCACATGACTGGTTGGCAAATAATATAAAGCACTCTCAGGCTTTGTGCTCTCTGTATCGGACACCATAATGACTCTCAGCAACTAGTGGTCCTCAATGTGCTGTATCAACTCATTCAGTTATAGATGTTCTGCAACAGTATGTGAGGTTGCTATAAAAAGAAACTGTAAGAACCCACAGGACAAAAGTGTGACATAATTTTCATGAAAAGTGTCTTTAAAAAATGTAAATAAGTGGGATGCCTTCCAAGTCTTGTTCATCATAAGCTATCCGTCGCCCCTGACCTCACTTTGACTCTGTGACACACTTGTATATACTTCACACACTTTCCGTGTTGCGTCTTGGTGGACAGAGTGTAACCAAGCATGCATCAGCACTCGTCTGCACTCTCCATACTGCAGGCGTTCAGCAAAACTCGCTACTAATACTAATGTTACACTACTCAAGAGTCAACACACACAAACACACACACACACACACACACACATTCCTGTACGTGCCTCATAGTGAGGTCCAGGTTAATTAACTGCTGGAGTGAGGACCACCCTTTCTACTATACTTAGAGACAAATGCATGATAGATTCCAACACTGGGTGGCACCTTGATGCCAGTTTCCACCTCAGTTCCTTAAAAAACATGAAGGAAATTTTTAATTTTTTTAACCCAGTTTACCACTGGAGTGGGGACCTTTTCAAGGGGGCGCTATTGAGTTCGTTTCAGAATGGACTAGTTTAACTACCTTCTATTTTTAGCATTAAATTTAATAATTTTAATGTTCTAGTATAACACATTATGTAAAAATAAGTCAGTATGGACATTTTTAAAAAGAATTGCCCAGTCTGAGATTCATAGATAAGCAGAATACCTAAATTTATGGAGGTGACCATCGATTTGACTGCTGTACAAACATACATACTTACTGGTCAATTACTGCTTTACTAAAGTAAATATAACTTGAACAATCCACATAAACAACTTTCAACAAAGCTGCAGGGATATAAAAGAAATCCATTTTATTTATTCATTTAGCTGAAGCTTTTATCCAAAGTGACTTACAATTGCTATACATGTCGGAGGTCGGAGGTCGCACGCCTCTGGAGCAATTAGGGTTAAGTGTCTTACTCAGGGACACAGTGGATGGGTCACAGTGGGGGATTGAAGTGCGCTATCACCACCCCCAAATCCATTGTTTATTAAGCATAAACAGAAATAAATTATTCCAGAAACAAACTATTGCCTCTTGTACAACTCAAAAAATACAGTAAAGTGTACTGTATCATAACTACTATTAATTCACCAATTAAAGTGAGGGCCAATATGAAGAAAATTGATATTATCAGACAATCAATTGAAAACAAGGAACACTGTCTTGCAAAGTACAATGAAAACAAAATAATCCTTTGAATTTTTTACAACTGGTTTTGAGTTTTAGGAACGCTGAACACTAGCTTATTGTGGCTAGTCTTGCCTTTTTACAGTACATCATCTGACACTATATGGTCCAGGATAGATTAATTTCAGATTATTATCAATCAGTAGTTCAGTAGGAGACTGTAAATGGCAAAAACATTTGGCTTTTGAATACTTAAGAATACGTGAAGCGCCGCTTTGTCTAAGGGTCACAATTGTGTTGTACACAAAGTTTGACATCTTTCCATGACCCTTGAGCCAAGGCCTTTTCTCCAGGCACTCTACATCGCAGTTCTCTCTACCTCACTCCATGCTCTCTTGCTCTCTCATGTTTGACTTTGTTCTTCTGTGGAAGCCTGGGGGTCTCATCTACAACAGGAACAGACAAACATCATTTCCTATTAGTCGATGAAACCTCAGGTATAATGGATTTTTAAAAGTGCTTTAATTAAATGTGACAACCAAGAACTGACAGATGATTGCAACTCTCTTACCATGGGACAAAAAAGGTTAATTGTTAAAGGTCACAAAAACACATTTAATATTTACCATCATCAGTGTTAGGGCAGTAACGCTTTACTGTAATAATATTACTTTTCCCTGTAACTAGTAGTGTAATTGTAAAGTGAAGTGTAGTTACTTTTCTAAAAAACTCGTTACTAAACGCACCATCCTTGACATGAATCCACGACTGTGCGGCAGCTCAGCGGTACCGTATGTAAAGACCATAGCATACTCGCTGTTGTGAATACGATATTAGTTAATAACTCGGGAGAGATGCTTTGTTTGGGGGCAAAGGCAGGGTGGTAGTGAAAGCAGTGTTTCCCATAATTAGCCTATAATTTGGTTAATTGTCAACGCTGACCACCACATTAATTTAAAAATTTTTTTACTAGGCATATTTAAAATCATGTTTGACCGAGGAGCTGTATTGAGGAGCAAATATTCGTGCAGCACCTCCTGGCTCGCGCTCTCTTTCTCTCTCGTGAACACCGCTGCACAAACTTGTCCAAAGTCTGTGTTCGGTCCCGTTCATACAGTGTTTACTGGGAGGCTGCTGAGCGCGGTGTCGTTGCACGCTTGGCTCCTGTTCTGGTGCCCAAACCAGCGCCGCTTGCTGAGGCCTAAAACCTCCAGTGCCTGAGTAGAGGTGTAACGTTAAACACAAAACACTCCCAGGTGCTGCGAGCTCCCAGTCCGGGCTGAGTCAGCTACGACCACTAGGCTAACTGAGCTTATAAGATCACAGCAGCTACTTAATGGCACTTAGCAGTTACTTTAGCAACAAGTAACACATCTGTTCATCAGCAACCTCCGTAAATCACAGAGAGTTGAGACAGAGTAGCTGGGGGACACGGGGAACTTTAATGTTATTTTATGAGGCCCAACAGTTACTGTGTTGCCTTAGTAGACAGCAGAGGACGCAGACAGAACTAAATAGATTGTGATCTGTAGCACGACAGTAATGATCTCTCTGAAAAGATAGATCGTGGAGACATTTTAATCGTCCACAATCTAATATTGCCCACCCAGTAATAAGTAAAGTAATACTTTAAAGGAGTAATAACTAGTAAATATAATAATTTCTGAGTAACTTGCCCAACACTGACCATCATAAATTAGAAAAGAGTTACAAACAAACACTCAAACAAAAGTACACATAGACTTACAGTAAGAGTAAAGTAGTACTCTACTTGTCTTTTGACTGAGTTAAAGTATGAAACAAAGGCAGGAGTTTTTGTATATTTCATAATTAAAGCAATTTAACTCACCATCAGTGAGTTCTCCTTATCTCTAACTCAGCGCAGGGGTCAGAACCTCCATCTGAAAAACAAGAGCATACAAAAAGTAACACCTCATACTATATAGTGTGGGTAAGGTTGCATCCTTCTGTATTTGTTAACTGTTAGAGAGTTGAAAAGTGTTTCAGGTTTTAAATGGACAGCATCCTTACTGCCAAAAACATATTATCCACTGGTCTTCCTCTCTTCACTGTGTGTGGGGTGGAGGTGAAAGTGAGACTTTCACCTGTGAAAAACAGCAACAGTCATTTATTATTACTCTGTGCTCTAATAAAAACCCAAGTTGCAGAGTACAAAGACTGCCGGTGAATAAAAGGAGTTTTAAAATGACTTGTCTTGACCTTCCAATGTTACTGGCCTGTATGGATCAGTTACACCATTTTCACTATACTAAAACTAGAGCAATTACACACCCAATACCTCCTTTGCGAGCATTTTCTTTCCTTTCTTCATTTTCTTTTTGTTAAACATATTTCACATACTTGTTAGTGTTGTTTAGATTTTTTTATATAACACTCGGCTAATTTTGTTAGGCCTTTTTTAAATAATGACTGCACATACAGTATAAACACCGTCCGTGGAAATTGTGGTACTGACAGAGGATTAATCAGATAATTGCACACTAATAATTATACGAGGACTGAATATCAACTGCTCTTCTAAAGGTGTAACTGTTTCTACAGTGTATATATTCGCGCAACATCTCTCGCTCACTCTCTCCGTCTCTCATGAACAGCGCTGCACAAATCTCTCCAACACAAAGCTGTCAATGTCAGAGACCCACCTTAGTTGGTATAGGGAATTAAACCTGAACGTGTCACTTACAATCGATGCCGTAGCGGTGAGAGTCGAGCTTTCAGTACAACGTAAACAAAGAAAGCAGCATGTAACCTTTCAGACCCACCGCACAGAAAGAGGCCCATTATTTCAGCGACTTGCGCCGCGCTAGGGCACTTTGTTGCTGTGTAGAGGATCGCGCACCGCACGCCATGCCGCAGTCGAAGTACTTTTGTGCTGAACCCAGCGCAAATCGCTTCTTTTCTGAAAGGTTCTTTATGGAAGAACATAGTCCTTTCAATACCTTCCGTCACTGAACATTTAACGTTACATCTGTGTTGAAAAAATGTTGCCAGGTGTAAAACACTACATAACATCAGGAGCTTTTAGACTTTCAGGACTGTAGGCTACCAATTACCTGCATTTCAGTTATTAATAACACTGCATGAATGATGTCTAGATGAGAGTTGATGACAACAATTCAGTTTATTTCCCTCTTATTAACAGTTTCCCCTGGGGAATAAATGAAGTTAATATTCCTCTTATAGTAATAATACTTACATATTATAGAAACACAATTGTTAATGTAATTTAATATTAAAAATCAACTTAAGTTATTGCTAGTGAAAATTAATGCATAATCGTGAAACCGTGATTATTTCTCTGACAATAATCTGTAATCGTTGCATCCCTATTGATGATAGGGCTGGGAAATCTGTCACAATTTAGGGTGCTATGATTACATAACAATAATAATTCCCAATGTATCTTTGTGGGTATAAAATTTTTGTTCCATAGAATTACTTTATGAATGACCACATTCATAACAACCTAATCATTAAAACCAATATAATAATCACTTATTTCCATTTGCTTTATTAATACAATCAAAGTACACAAACTGACAAGTATGTAACTGAATTGAATCTTGACTAATAAACTGTTGACATCTTTGAACAGACTCCACTTATTTTTCAGTAGGTCGTTTACTTGTCATCCACTCTCAACGTTTTACCCACATTACGACTGTCGCAGCAAGAACTGCATGGTATCTACAACTTTGCAAGTTGACAAGGCACAGCAACAAACTGACTGCAGTCCCACTGACATCTTGCTCTCAGGATTGGCCAAAAAGTTGCAGTCTCTGCCTGGGACTCTACTTTCATTTAAAAAAGAAATCTGCCATCAACTTTTGTCTGAGAGAACAGAACGAGCAGGGACTGATTTGAGTTCATGCTCAGGACAAAGGCTTTTTTACATAGTCATTTTAGTAGTATAGTGTTGAATAATACAAATAAATTATGTTAATAACTGACAATTAACGTAAAAGTTAATTTACCTTGAAGAAATAGTTTTTTGGGGGAATACATGTATTGTCTTTCTTTCTGAGGGTTTATTGAGAAGATCAAATCACTTTAGTGTGCATGCTAAATATAAATAAATCTATATTATCTAAAGCTAATTGGCTGCTGGCTCTAACTCCATATTTAGTGAATAGACATGACAGTCCTTTACTTTTCTCATCCAGCACTTGGCGAGAAAGTGAATAAGCACACGTACCAAAATGTTGCAACTGTTCTAACATGTCATAATATAACATCCATAACTTCACTAGAAGTTTTAGTCCGTGTACACGGTGACAGCGTGCGTGCTGGTCAGGACTGGTAAATGAAACTGTTGAAACACGAGAGACTGGCTTGTGCTGAGTAGGGATGCAACGATTACAGATTTTGTTGGTACGATTATAGTCAGAGGAATAATCACGGTTTCAAGATTATCATGATTATTATGCATTAATTAATTTAACAACACTAGTAATTACTTAAGTAGGTTTTTAATATTACATTAACAATTATAAAACTATAATATTTAAGTATTATTATTAATATAAGAGGATATTAACTTTATCTCCCAGGGGAAATTGTTATTGGGGAGGGGAATAAACTGAACTGTTGTCATCAACTCTCATCCACATGTATAAGTTTTAGTGAAAATGATGATGAATGTTCAATGATGAAAATTGAGAACATGTCTCATGCAGCGTTATTAATAACTGAAATGCAGGTAATTGGTAGCCCACAGTTCTGGAAGTTTATAAGCTCCTGATGTTCTGTTAGTGTTTTACACCTGCAACATTTTCTCAGCACAGACAGGAGGAAGCAACAGGATGTTAAATGTTCAGTGACTGAAGGTCGGCAGAGGACAACGTTCTTCCATAAAGAACCTTTCACAAAAGAAGTGATTTGCACTGTGTGGAAGCTGGGTTCAGCGCAAAAGTTCAGCTAATTTGACTGCTGCTTGCGTGCGAGCTCGTCAAGCTTTGGCGTGGCACAAGCCATTGAAAATAGGCCTCATAGCGCAGCGGTGCTGTCGGTTACACCTGCTTTGTTTGTTTATGTTGTACTGAAAGCTCGATCTCAGTGCGACAGCATTGATTGTAAGTGTCACAATTATATTTAATTCCCCAACAACCTGCCACATTATTTAAGTTATTATGTATTACCTTTACTTACTTATTTTAAAACAATTGTAAAATGGGTCGCCAAATTTACTTGGGCAGCTGTTAATCTACCTGGACGGCCCGCCCAAGTAAACCCTATGTGTGGGAAACGCTGATTAATTAACCGTGACGTTTTAAAGCACGGTTAATAGTGAAATCCAGCAATCGCTACATCCCCAGTGCTGAGCAATATCCCATTCAGTCAGCTGTTTACCCCAACCCCTTGTAAAATGTAGCTTTTCCACTGCAGGCTATATAAATCCATCTCGCCTGATGTTAGCAGTAAGATTACTGGCAGCTAAAGTTCAGGAACAGCGTTAAGATTAAGTACTGTAAAATAATCACAACTTCTAAGCCTGCAGATATTCAATTTCTGATTAGGGCTGTACGTAACGATTATTTTTCAAGTCAATTAATCAAACGATTATTTTTTCAATTACCCAATTAATCTAACGACTAATTTTCTGTATTCTAAAAGGAAAAAAGTTGCCTATTACTCGATTAACATACCAATTTATCCAAAATAAATATCAAAAACATTCCTAATAAATAAATCTATATTTTAATCATCCTGATGAAGCACATTAGAATAATGTGTGTGTATATATATATATATATAAAAAATAAGAATAGCAGCAAATCTTAAAATGAATCAAATTTCCACGCCATTGATGTGTTGTGATAACAACAATAACAGACATTAATTATTAGGCTACTTTACTTAAAACTTTTAATGTTTTTGACATGGATTAATTTCAATATTGAGTACTGCAGTATGATAATCAAATGCATTTCTGCATCAGTGTCGGGCAAAGAAAACAATTGAAAGGATTCACAGACTGTACAGACAGTCACAGATCGTCTGTAATGTTAGTTTCAGCTGTTTTCTCGCTCATATGTGGCCGTTAATTAAAACAGAAAATATGAAACGGCCGAACGTTCGATGTCTTGAGGTGTAACGTTATGCTACAATGACAGCAGCGGGGCAAAAATTACTTTTAACATGAAAGCGATTAAGAAATACTACGTGTCCTTGTGCTGATGATGTGCCATGCTCGTGTGGCGACAGAAAGTAAATAGGATTTGCGGTGCTGCCGTCAGTGCTCCAGGATACTTTCGCTCACGTGTTCATGCTGCTTCACGTATTCGTGGACAGTTGTGCTGCAGTGAAGCTTTTCTCAGATCACAGAGACTGTCTGTCTAAAATACTTCCAAACTTTAGCTTGTCCGGGGGAATCCTGCCAACACTGGATCGACTATGTTGACGAATTGCCCGAGCCCTAAATTCCTGTTTATATTATCGGTCTGCAGCTGATATTGTTTCATTTAAAAATGTCAGCTTTAACGCTGAATCACAACTACTACTACTTTTACAGTGAAGAAAGAAGTCAGTGTCAGGATGGAGTAAAGAGTTTGTAAAGGCACATACCTGTGTTTGACTCATAGCGATCTCTTCCTGGACCTAACACCAATGAGAATAATGAAAATGATGTCATGTTATACTCTGAACAAAATATAAAAATAACAATGTGTAGTAGTAATATTAAGTGATACAGTACTGCTGCATTTCATATCATATAATACATCTCTCTACACAGTGAGAGAGAGAGAATAAACACATGTTTTAAGTGAATTGGACACCCTGTCATAAATACGAGGTTACGTCTCAAGTCTCCAGTGAGACAATGTGCCATTTGTGCTTTGTTTCCAGATACTGCTTTATACTCAGTAGCGACTATTCAGGACACCTGTACAATCTACTGCAATTCTGTACAACAGGTTCAGTTTCTGACCATTTTGTCAGGAATGTGTAAATTCAGTTCTGTTTATTACTAAGCCTATAGTTCAAGGTGTTGTTACACTGAAAGGTGATTTTGCTCTCCCTGTTTATATATATGAGTAGGGCGGAATATTAAACACATCTGAATATGATGTAGTCCAGTACAACATTTTCACCAACTATGACCTCAGTGCTAAAAAATTTAATTCACTTAACACCTATATGACTGTGTCAAAAAAGAAAACTGATTAAAGGCATCATTAAAGTAGACTTTGTGGCAGCACTGTTGTAATGGATTGTATAAGACTTTACAGGTGTACTTTATAAAGTAAGTGTTACTTTTTGAAAATCCGTTGCAGGCTGCGGGCAGATTTTACCTAATTTTATAAACAAACTGTTGTCAGGAAACATCACGTTTTCTTCTTTTTATGGTGGCAACTGTTATTCAGCTCTCCCTGTCAGAAGCTTTCCCTCCACTAACTAAACAGACAGTCACAGAGGTGGGAGTGAGACAGGCAATAGGAAAGGGTACTAAATCAATCAAGTAGTAGCTGATAAATATTTAATTTTCACACAATAAGCCATGAGAACAGAGCTGCTTTGGGATCAAAATAATAATAAAAAGAGACTGTGTTACATCTACTTCAGTGTCCTCTCTCAGGTGTAATGTTGGCTCACCTGTCTTGGGCCACATCCGCACTACTACGTTTCTGTTTAAAAGGAGATTTAAACCAAAAACGATCTCCGTCCCCAGCAGCATTTTATCTGCATAACAGAATGGATCTCTGTCTCTGAATACGTGAAGTGGCCGTCCACATAGCCTACACTGAGCATGCGCGTGCCGGTATAAACAGGAAGCACATTGTCTACTTCGCATTAGTAGAAGATTTGTTAAAAGAAGAAGGTACTACTACAGACTAAAAACCACACCAGAGATAGTTCTGCATGGATCTAACACGAGGTGGAATTGTTACTGACAGTAACAGGGGAGTTAAAAGCAGCTGTGGCAGCAGAAAAAACAGACTGGGATTTGTCGCAAAGCAAATACGGCCTCATGCACAGTAGCCTATAAGTGTATTGTTATTTACACAGAAAAAAATATTTACAATTTAACAGCACTATTCTGTTGCATCTGCACTAAATCCATTAAATATGCACTTCTGCCATCATGTTAAACCATGTACCTATCAATTGTGTGCTGGAGATCTGACTGGAGCGGTTCTGGAGCCACTCAATTAAAGTTAGAGCTTGCTGTTTTCTTCCATTCAAAATAATATTGCACATTAACATCATTTGACAAGAAGCAGAAATATCTATAAATCTTACCTGCTCTGAAATTGCCTCTTGCGTCGGTTAAGATGAAGTCTTCGTCTTTAAATTTTTCAAACAAATCTCTCCAAACTCCTGCTAACAAATCTCTCCAAACTCCGGCCACTCTCTGTTTTCTTCTGCTCCTCTCTGCTGCGCTGCTGAAAGGTTGGGGGAGGGGGGCAAGTTCCAGGTGCAGGGGGGCGTGTCCCTCCGCTGATGGCCCATTAATTAAGCCTGAGCCGAGAGGCTGCAAAGTCACCACAATATTCTCCACTTCTCAGCTCTGACACAGAGGCCTGTGTTACAGGCTACAGTGTTTAAAATAAAGCAAGAAACACATTTATCAGTGACAGTAGAAACACCAGGCTTTACATACTGTTAGAAGTAAAATTTCATATATTTAAAATTTTACTTAACTAAAAGTATAAAAGTACCATAAGCAAACACCGTAATTTAATTGTTGACTGTTTTTATTCATCTAAATCTGAAATGCAGCTAGTAACAAAATCTATACAATTTTAGACGTATAAAGAAAAATGGTGGTTTTAGAGAGTCTTGAATCTGTGGAACTGTACAGGCCACTTTGTGTGTATTTGTATATGGGGCAGCGGAGGTTTAAGGGGGACCTCACACACTGTCAGGAGAACTGTCTGTGTTCCCTCCACATTTGCCCAGGTTCTGGCTAAGACATCATAGGAAGAGACTTGAGGGAGATGCTTTGCTCAGTCTTATTAATGGCTCTTTTTTGTCCTCAGGAGATAAAAAAGGATGCCCTGAGCACATTTTGAATACTGTACTTCTGTTTTAAGTGCAACAACTTTTCCAGTGCACCATCCAGCTGATAGTTACTTTAAATATAGTACAATGGTCCCTTACTCAAGAAAAGTAGAAATAGATATTTATCACAAGTCCTCAAAAAGGTATAAAAGTATTCCATAGTCATAGTGAATATACTTAAGTATCAAAAGTAAAAGTGCTCATTCTGTATGACATTGTAGTACCTCAGTTCATGCATGCATTCTGTCCTTAATGAATTAATCTCCAAACATCAGTGGTTGGTGTTCCAGTTATGCTGGCTGTAACAAAGTTGTGCAATATTTTCATTGACAAATAATTATTTTTCTTCATCTCAGTAACTTTATAGGGTTCAGATAAACAGCAATAAATACAATACAGGATTTAAAAATGTAGGGGAGCAAAAGTATAAAGCCCCTAAAATGAAAATACTTAACATTTACAGGAATCATATGTGAGGTTTCTTTGGCTCTTTCTCTGGTCTCATATGGTGCAATGTTCAGGGTACTTAAATTAAATTAGACTTATTCAAGATCAGTTAGAGATCTCTTGTTTTGATTGAGGAAGATATAAATGAGATGATATGTGGTTGTTTCTCCTGAGTTGAATTTAAGACGTAGGAGAAAAAATCCTTTGGTCTCACCTTAGTATAAAAGTAAATTTTTCTATTGAGGAGAAATTAAAGAAACACCTATATCTCTTCTTGGATTTTGCTTTTCTCTGTGCAAGCACCTGCAATGTAATCAAATAATCTACAAAGTAACAAATGTGAATCATTTTGGTTGGGAGGGTGGAGGTGGGTGCCATTATAAATGTACCTGAGCTGCCATTTCAGTGACTGACATGTTTTTATATCTTATGTAAAACAGGACATGATCCTGGATCATAGTAAAGATTTTCTCCAAAAATGATTGTTGTAAAACTCTCCCTGCTCTCTAAAACCATTTTTAAGGAACGAAGGCAATCCTTAGTGTCATTAGTCATTAGTATGCAGGCCATAATTTTCCTTTGGTGAGTTATTGTGTAGGCACAGAGTCTCTAAGACCAGCTACAGGTACCACTGAGGAACTAGGAGAGCAAAGGGCCCAGGAGAGAGGTCATGTCCGTGTGACCGAGCTGCGTGATGTGGCTGTGGAGGCTGCTCAGTGACTACCATAGTATTTGACAGGCTGAGGTCTTCTATCTTGTCCCATTCAGTAGCATAGCCAGGAACACCAGACAGGACACTGAGGATTCTCCTTGGAGTCAAACAGGTTGGTGACCAGCTGTCCAAAGTGCTGCCAAAGTTAGATCTGTCCAAATACAGGTGGAGCTGCCGCTCACTCCAGTGGCTCCCTGAACATCACACCCTCTGGGCCTACTGTATCCCTGCCCTGTAGCTGCTGAGGCAACTAAAGCTGTGCACGCTTTCACCATCTATTGTATGTGTGTGTTTTAATGAATAAGAGGTTACAAGAAACAACATTTATTTGTTAAACACAGTAGCAATATCTGTCCAAGCACTGTCCTCCAAAAGCATGTATATTTAAGTTTTCATGTTCCCTCTCAGGTCACAGTGCTGTAACCACATGTGTAAATATTGTGAGCAGGGCCAGTGTGGAGACAGCTGAGGTGAATTAACCAAAGTAGTCTGTGTGTTGGAAAAACTAAATTCATAAATCATTTAGGTCAAATTTTTCAAATCATGTTCCTGAAAATAAACTTTCCCCTCCTCTCCTAGCTCCCTATGTAAGCTGTCACCAAGCTGTGTCTGGTTACCATAAAAAAGATCACAGATCAAATTATTACTTTACAGTTGACTCTTTTTTTTGCTGGTCTCTACAGACAACTCTCAATTTTAGATTTATTTTCTGCTGTTCTTCTCTTACCCTGGGATTACTTGCTTTAGATAGATCTTGGCTTCATTACATTTTTCCTTAAGAGACATTTAGGTTTCACAGATCAGAATTCATTAGCCTAGCTCAATAGCTCAGCAAAAAAACAGGTCTGATAGATGCACGAATCTGAGGCTTGAAAGAAGGCCTGAAGTGCTTGGGTTATGGCTAAAAAGACCAACTCATTCTTATTTACAGGTCATCCAATACTGCATAGACTACTATTACACAACCCTGAAGATGGGTTTGTAAATGTATTTATTCTTGGTTTTAAGATTTTATATCAGCATGACAATTATAATCTGTTCTGTTAGCTAGAGTAAGCATAACACAGAATAATAAAAATAATAAAAGGTAATAACAATGAGATACAGAATAAATTATTTTTAAATGGGAAATAAAACAGAAATGAAATATTGACATTACAAATTAATTATAGGATTTGCTATGGACAAATAAATTATGTGTAGAAAATATATAAAGATAAGAAATGAAATGTGACGTGGGGGCTGAATGCACAATAAAAAGCCCATTCTGATGATATGTATATATGTATGTATATATATATATATGATATATATATATATATTATATATATATATTGTATGTATATCTATATGTATGTATATAATATGTTGTATATATATAGTATATATATATATGTATGTATATATATGTATGTATGTATATATATATGTATGTATGTATTATATATGTATGTATATATATATGTATGTATATATATATGTATGTATATATATATGGTATATGTGACAAGTGCAGGGATTACATAAGGGAATAAAAGTCCAGTTTGATGACCCCTTCTCTTAGCAAAAGTGATTTTATAAGTAAATATCCTCAGCCAGATATTGTTAGAAATATACAATTAAATGAGCACCATCATATTTTACAATCACAGGCTGTAAAACACCCTTTCTCAACAGAAATAGTGGCCTTTGGATTCATTTCACGGCCGACTGGCAGAAATTTGAAATGGAATCAAGCCATCTTACGGCAGACGGCCCAAACAGAAATGGAACGCGCCCAGTCCACTTACGTGGATCGAGAGGGAGGGGGAGCGAGAGGGGGGGAGAGAGAGATACGTTAATCAATTGAAGCTTTGGCGTTTTGTGAACATGAGCTTATTAACTTATTAATCGCCATAAAACAATCAAATTCGGAGCAAAGCAAAGCTAGTGAAGGTTAAAGTTACGTTAGCAGCGATGCTAACGCGCAGCTGCACCTGCAAGCAGACGTGAGCAGCGTGAGGACCGGACAGGATGATGGACAGAACTTTAAATCAGGGAGAGATACTGGTGGAGGAGAAAGTTAATAGATGATTTAAAAGTGCTTTATTTAAATGGACACGGAGCTGCCAGAACAAGAAGCAGGGGAGAGGATGCTGAGGCTATATAGATGTTTAATTAACAGAAAGGTAAGCATGTGTTTTATTAACGTTATTCCGTAGTGTTGGATGTTGATTAATTATCTTGAGAGAGTGATGAGCAAGTGGGCGTTTGTGCTGTGAAATTATAAGAGTTGACTAACTTAATGCAAACTTATGTAAGTCCCATGTTGGGCATGATGCCTGAATGTAATATTTTGGCTTATTGCTGTAAATACAGTGGTGGAAGAAGTACTCGATTTTCCTACTTAAGTAAAATGCAGATACCACATAAAAAAGTTACTCAAGTAAAAGTAAAAAAGTACCTGGTTTTAAAATATACTTAAGTAATCAAAAGAACTACACATCAAAATCTATACACAGTATTTATTTTTAAATTCACTCCAGACAGCATTATAAGTTACAGTGAATCACAATAAGGAAGAGTACAAGTGGATATTTCCTATACTGTGGGAGGATTAGCCTGTGTTCTGCTCTTGTAGTAGTTTCCCCTTCAGACCGACCTCATTTTGGACTTTGGGCATGTGCACGGGTTGTGTTGGACAAGGAGGTCAAACTAACTGAAACACTTCTCAATTCACAATCTCATCAAAAATCCACATGTTAACGTCTGCACCTCTGATAAAGTGCAACTCACAGTCCCACACAGAGCGAGGTTGGCTTCAGTTTTCACATGTTTATTGCAAAGCTCTAGCAGCTACGTTAGCACTCGGCCACAGACAAAAACAGAGCTGCTGCACAGTCACACCTGACACAACAATGCTCTCACTACAGTCCTCCCTCTTTAATTAGCCTGAATAGAAACCTCTTCTAGAAAGTCCAGAGCTGATTTGAACAGACCTCTGGCACTAACTCAGTCCTCATGAAGTCTGTTAAGACCGGGGCCAGTCTGCCGGGTCATTTGGTGAAGCAGCAACTGTTCCGTTAGGGTCTGATGCTGGCTGTTCATCTCTGGCTGCGCTGGTATGTCTGAGGCTGCCTGTGTTTCACCTGGGTCTGTGGGACCCGCTAAAGACATCCGGACCGGGTCTGTGCTCGCACTGACTGAGGCCGGATGTGGATCAGCTGGGCTGACTGGCTGGAGTCTGTTCTTGTACTGGCTGATGATCCCAAATTTACTCCACTGACAAACTTAAGCAAAGCCCTTGTCAATGTAATGCAAATCCACTGCTTCCCATCTTGCATTAGTCCAGAGTTGGAAATAAACTTCACTGTCTTGTTTTAAAATGATGTATGAGGAGTGCCCTCACATCCTGTCTGGACTGGTTCACAGATGTTTATTGCTGGAATGCGTGAATAAAATTTTTTAGGCCGTGAATATGAACGCATTTCCACGTGCAATGCGGTCATCTTTTCCGAGCTGCAGTTTATAAACACTGTGGCCCGTCTGCATCTATCAAACATAATAAATAGTTGTATTTTTACTCAACATTGTTCTGTCACAGTCTGGCAAGAAACCAAGACACGACAGACAAGAGCTGCGCTTCTCAGCTGGTTAGCAGGACAGACAGACAGAAATTCACAGCAGCTACACATTAACTGAACATTAGGCTACTGTTACTGTTACCTGCTGACATCAGACTCTGAGAGGAGCGAACACAAGTTTACCTGCCTGCTGTTCCTGCACTTCACTCTCACTGAGCTTCTTTCTCTTCTCGTGCCTAGAAGGATAGTCCCTCTTCATCCTCTCATTTGACACGACAGTGAGGCGGGGCCGTCCCCTCTGCGCAAGACTGACTTTATTACTATCCCTGTGTAAGCCGGTGTCGCATCTGCTGGGTTAATTCGCGCAGAGTCAGCTTTATTAGTTCACATTTGTTTTTCAGTGCTGCAACCGGGGTGAGATCAGTGCTATCCACTGGCCCACCGTGCCGCCCAACAATGCACCAATATATGCACATATTGTTTATTGTGTCACTGTTGTTTAGTTTCAGCACATGTTACCTGTGGCCAGGTACTGTCTATAACCTACTGGGTTCAGTAGCTGACAGATGTTGTGCAAAGTTAACGTTAGTTACCACTGAAAGGAAGTATTTCCTGCCTGCGGGAGTGTAAGCATTCAGTGGTGACAGCGGAGCTTCGAGTTCACCAAAGTAGATGAAAAATATAACGTGGATTGTTTAATCTATCCTTTCAGTATTGTTGTTTTATCAACAAGGTTTTGCAAAGCAAGCTAACATATGGCTTCTGCCTTCTGTGGCTAACATTATGTGTTATTGAATCAAGAATGTATAAACAAGAAACCACATTTTTCTCTCAGTAAAGCAAACATTTAGGTAGGTAGGTAGGTTTTATTTTCACAATATAACAAGTTGTAGAGTGAAATTGAGTTTTATAACTCCCTTCTGCTACATAGCAGACAGGAAACAATTAATTATAAAAATGGCAACAGAAATAAACTATCATCACTGGAGCAGTGCTGAGGATGAACTAGATTTAAGAGTCTGATAGTTTGGGGGGGAAAGCTGCTCTGCAATCTGGTGGTGCAGCAGCAGAAACTTCTATATCTCTTCCCAGAAGGCAGCAGGGTGAACAGGCTGTGGCTAGGTGGGAACTGTCCTTTAGTATCCTTTGGGCTCTGCAGGCACCTCACCTCACTGATATCACTGATGCTCGGGAGATGGGTACCAATGATCTTCTGTTGATCTTCTGAGTGTTTTAATCACCCGCTGCAGAACTCTCCGGTCCTGGGCTGTGCACATCCCATGTTAGTGACGTTTCCAGTCTGGATGCATTCTGTTGCTCCCCTGTAAAAGCTGACAAGGACTTGGCGTGGGAATTTGGTCTTCTTAAGCTTCCTCAAGAAATCCAGTCGTATCTTAGCTTTCTTCACCAGCGTGGAGATGTGAGACGACCATGTCAGGTTCTCTGTGATGCCGATTCCCAGGATCTTGAAACTATTCACCTGCTCCACCTCAGCTCTACTGATGCCGACAGGAGTGTGTGTCTTTATCTCCTTCTTCCTAAAATCAATGAGCAGCTCCTTGGTTTTGCTGACGTTGAGCGGTAGGTTGTTCTCTGAGCACCACTCTACAAGATTATGAATTTCCTCCCCATGAAGTCATCCATGTCGGGGATGCAGTCGTGGGTGTACAGCGTGAACAGGAGGGGGTTGAGCACACAGCCCTGGGGGGCTCCCGTGTTGAGCACTAGAGTTGTGGAGGTGAGTCCGCCAATCCGAACTGACTGGGGCCCGTTCGTGAGAAGTCCACTATCCAGTTGCAGAGTGTTGTATTTAAACCCAGAGTGCTGAATTTGCTGATCATTTTCTTAGGGACATTGTGTTGTACGCTGAGCTGAAATCCACAATCAGGATTCTGAAGTAGGTGGTGTTTTCTCAAGGTGTGTATATATTAATACATATAAATAGATCTGTTTTAAAGTTGAGAGTCTAACAATGTTGTAGGCAGTCAGCAATCAATGTATAAATGGATTTCTCTGAAAATACTTACTTCTTTGGAGAAGCTATAACTGGCCATATAGACTAGTAAAACCTGGTTGGGGATAAGGTTAGGTGAGGTGTTTCTGTGTTATTGCGAGATCCTATCTAGAAAGTGATTTGTGTTTTGGATTCTATTCGCTCATGAGTTCAAGCGAGCACGTGTACGAGCGCACGCCTGGTTGCAATCTTAAAACCGCAACATGAGTGGCCGCTGGAAATTCCATAATGCCCCTTTAATGTTAACATTAATTCCACACCCAAACTTACAGCTCCATTAAATAAAATAGAAAGTTCAATTAACTTAACGTTATGTTACTGCAATTTTTGTTTCAAGATTCACCACTTATCAGATATTAATTATGAAGCAGCTGCCGGGTCAGCAGACAGACACAGCAATCCCTCAACAGCCTCTTGTAACGTTAAATTTGGTCTTATACAAGTGAACTGCACTCACCACATTCAGAGCTACAACTGAAGAGTCTGTGTAAAATGTCACATAAATATCAGCGCTAACGTATTGCATCCAGTCCAGTCCTGAACAGTCTAATGTCAAAGCTGCAAGGAAATTGAGATCTGGTGTCAAAAAACATTCTCGAATCGATGACAGTCCTTCATTTCAAAATGGAGGTTTGTGGTGGTTTTCGCGGTCTGTATTACTGTATTTAGATTTAGAGTAATATTTTCCCAGAATGCATTGAAAATCTACAGTAACATACTGTCCACCGCTTATACAGTTGGAAACAGTTAAAAATACAGTAAAATACTTAAAAGTATAAAAATAAATTCAGTGTATAGTCTGACGATGTTATAACTGACCATGGAGTCGATCACTTGGTCATCCATGTTACTGTTTGCAGGCCTGCATTAACCTGCAGTTAGGCCTGAGCCTCAGAGGTTTTGTAGGCCCACAATAAAAACAATAAAAATGTCTAATGACCACGTTTATCTATACTTTGCGCGACAGTAAGCATGATCGGTATGCGTACAGTAAAGGCAATGAGTCACATTATGACCTTATGAATCTTTTCTAAGGAAGATGCTCCTACCAATAGCTACGGAGTACACTGTAAAATCAAGATCACAGTAATAATTAGTTGATCAGCAAACACATGAATGCAGCATTGTAGACAATATTTTGTCCTTGTAATCCACGTTTCCATTGCAATGATAGCCTTTAGATATTATTGGAAACTATTCAGAATCCCCCTCCTTAAAGGGGAAGGGATTAGTACGTAATCATTTAATATTGCA